CTCAGAAGTTGGCTAAGTCCACTTATGAGAAGGAACTCTATGCGGTGTACAAGGCTCTCACCCATTGGAGACACTACCTCCTTGGGCGGTTCTTCATCCTTCGGACTGATCATCAGACCCTGAGATGGATGATAACACAGCCGGTACTCTCTGACGCTCTCAAGCGTTGGATCGAAGTCATTGAGCAATATGACTTTGACCCTCAGTATCTCAAAGGGGAGTACAACAAGGTCGCAGACCGTACTTCTCAGGTGCGCTGATTACTGAGTTCGATCTGACGGACGATGTTACTCGGTCTTTGGTGGAAGCCTATCGTCAGGACCAGTTTATGTCTGAGATCATACGCAGACTTGAGGCGAAGGATAAGAAGACCTCCGCCGAGTTTGAGTTGGTCAATGGATTGCTGTTCCTAGAGAAGGCAGGGAATAAACGCTTGTGCGTTCCAAATAGCGAGTCTTTGCGTAGTTTGTTTTTAGGGGAGTGTCATGATGCCACCGGCCATTTTGGGTACAAGAAGACCGCAGCCAACTTGCTGCAGCAGTTCTGGTGGCCCACGATGATGAAAGATGCACAGCTGTACGTGGAAACTTGTCAAGTATGCCAAAGAGACAAGTCCCGTACTCAGGCTCCTCTTGGGCTGCTCAAGCTCCTTCCGATTCCGGAAAGGCCGGGTGAAAGTTTATCCATGGACTTCATGGATACGCTGGTCACCAGCAAGAGTGGGATGAGACAGATCTTTGTCTTTGTGGATAGGTTTAGTAAGTTTGCTAGATTAATAGCTATGCCAGAAACAGCAAAGACCGAGTACGTGATCAGGCTATTTAAAGAAAACTGGGTTAGAGACTTTGGACTGCCGAAGTCTATAGTCAGTGACAGGGACGTCAGGTTCACGAGTGAATTATGGAAGGCCGCTGCAGCTGAACAAGGAACTCAACTGCAGATCACTTCTGGAAATCATCCAGAAGCTAATGGCCAGGCTGAACAAATGAACCGCGCTGTGCAACACCTGTTGAGGCACTACATCAAGCCCAATCAGGTAGACTGGGACGAAAAGCTTGCTCTAGTCGCTAGTCTATATAACAACGCTGTGCACAGTGCTACCGGGACGAGTCCTAACAGTCTACAACTGACATTCAAGCCTAGACTGCCCTTAGACTTCCTACTTCCCGACAAACAGCCAACTGCTACCCGGGCACTCTGGAGTTCGCCTATAGATATGAACAGAAGATGCAGGAGGCTGTAGAACACATGCAGAAGGCACAGGCAGCAATGATAGAGTCTGAGAATAGACACCGCCGCCCTTCTACATTTCAGGTTGGAGACAGAGTCTGGGTCAAATCTTCAGAACTGGGACAGGAGATCGGGATATCCCGCAAACTCATGCCTCAGTACTTTGGACCTTGGGAAGTTTTAGACGTAGTAGGGACAGATCCTGATGGTCCATCATATGTCATCCGTATCCCTGGTCATCTCAGAACTTACCCAGTCTTTCACGCGTCTAAGCTCGCTGCATTCGAGGAAACTGATCAGTTTCCCTCTCGTCGATCCATGCTGCCCCCAACCATGGACGGAGAAGTCGACATCGATGATATCGTTGACCACAGGGAGATGCCTGTTCAGAAGCCTCCAGGAAGGGGACGTCCTCCAAAGCCAAAGCTGCAGTTCCGAGTCCACTTCAGACATCATACAGATCCGAATGAGGACCGCTGGTTTACTCGGGAGGAACTGATGCAGACCGCTCCTCAAATCGTTGCCCGCTATGAGAAGGATGTACTGAAAGGAAAGCGCCAGATGGCTACAGATTGATCTTCGAAGAGGACTAACGAAGATATGGAGGAGGGAATGCGAGGCTACGCCCGCTTAGCCCCTACGGGGCCCTATCTGCAACAAGGTCGGCCGCCCTAAGTGAAGGCAGGCA